TGTTCCTGCTAGAATATACATGTGCTGACAATGTACCCGATGTAAAACAGACATGCTCACAATGTTCCTGCTAGAATACACATGTGCTGACAATGTACCCGATGTAAAACAGACATGCTCACAATGTTCCTGCTAGAATACACGTGTGCTGACAATGTACCAGATGTAAAACAGACATGCTCACCACAATGTTCCTGCTAGAATATACGTGTGCTGACAATGTACCCGATGTAAAACAGACATGCTCACAATGTTCCTGCTAGAATACATGTGTGCTGACAATGTACGAGATGTAAAACAGACATGCTCACAATGTTCCTGTTAGAATATACATGTGCTGACAATGTACCCGATGTAAAACAGACATGCTCACAATGTTCCTGCTAGAATACACGTGTGCTGACAATGTACCCGATGTAAAACAGACATGCTCACAATGTTCCTGCTAGAATACACGTGTGCTGACAATGTACGAGATGTAAAACAGACATGCTCACAATGTTCCTGCTAGAATACACGTGTGCTGACAATGTACGAGATGTAAAACAGACATGCTCACAATGTTCCTGCTAGAGTATACATGAGCTGACAATGTACGAGATGTACAACAGACATGCTCACAATGTTCCTGCTAGAATACACGTGTGCTGACAATGTACCCGATGTAAAACAGACATGCTCACAATGTTCCTGCTAGAATACACGTGTGCTGACAATGTACGAGATGTAAAACAGACATGCTCACAATGTTCCTGCTAGAATACACGTGTGCTGACAATGTACGAGATGTAAAACAGACATGCTCACAATGTTCCTGCTAGAATATACATGTGCTGACAATGTACCAGATGTAAAACAGACATGCTCACAATGTTCCTGCTAGAATACACATGTGCTGACAATGTACCCGATGTAAAACAGACATGCTCACAATGTTCCTGCTAGAATATACATGTGCTGACAATGTACCCGATGTAAAACAGACATGCTCACAATGTTCCTGCTAGAATACACATGTGCTGACAATGTACCAGATGTAAAACAGACATGCTCACAATGTTCCTGCTAGAGTACACATGTGCTGACAATGTACCAGATGTAAAACAGACATGTTCACAATGTTCCTGCTAGAGTACACATGTGCTGAAAATGTACGAGATGTAAAACAGACATGCTCACAATGTTCCTGCTAGAATATACATGTGCTGACAATGTACGAGATGTAAAACAGACATGCTCACAATGTTCCTGCTAGAATACACAATGTTCCTGCTAGAATACAACAATATACATGTGCTGACAATGTACCAGATGTAAAACAGACATGCTCACAATGTTCCTGCTAGAAATATACATGTGCTGACAATGTACGAGATGTAAAACAGACATGCTCACAATGTTCCTGCTAGAATATACATGTGCTGACAATGTACCAGATGTAAAACAGACATGCTCACAATGTTCCTGCTAGAATACACATGTGCTGACAATGTACCCGATGTAAAACAGACATGCTCACAATGTTCCTGCTAGAATATACATGTGCTGACAATGTACCAGACAATGTACCCGATGTAAAACAGACATGCTCACAATGTTCCTGCTAGAATACACATGTGCTGACAATGTACGAGATGTAAAACAGACATGCTCACAATGTTCCTGCTAGAATACACATGTGCTGACAATGTACGAGATGTAAAACAGACATGCTCACAATGTTCCTGCTAGAGTATACATGAGCTGACAATGTACGAGATGTACAACAGACATGCTCACAATGTTCCTGCTAGAATACACATGTGCTGACAATGTACCCGATGAAAACAGACATGCTCACAATGTTCCTGCTAGAATATACATGTGCTGACAATGTACGAGATGTAAAACAGACATGCTCACAATGTTCCTGCTAGAATATACATGTGCTGACAATGTACCCGATGTTAAACAGACATGCTCACAATGTTCCTGCTAGAATATACATGTGCTGACAATGTACCTGATGTAAAACAGACATGCTCACAATGTTCCTGCTAGAACAGACATGTGCTGACAATAAATATTACATGTGCTGACGTACGAGATGTAAAACAGACATGTTCACTATGTTCCTGTGAGAATACACATGTGCTGAAAATGTACGAGATGTAAAACAGACATGCTCACAATGTTCCTGCTAGAATAAACATGTGCTGACAATGTACCAGATCGATGTAAAACAGACATGCTCACAATGTTCCTGCTAGAATACACGTGTGCTGACAATGTACGAGATGTAAAACAGACATGCTCACAATGTTCCTGCTAGAGTATACATGAGCTGACAATGTACGAGATGTAAAACAGACATGCTCACAATGTTCCTGCTAGAATACACGTGTGCTGACAATGTACCAGATGTAAAACAGACATGCTCACAATGTTCCTGCTAGAATACACGTGTGCTGACAATGTACCAGATGTAAAACAGACATGCTCACAATGTTCCTGCTAGAATACACGTGTGCTGACAATGTACGAGATGTAAAACAGACATGCTCACAATGTTCATGCTAGAACATACATGTGCTGACAATGTACCTGATGTAAAACAGACATGCTCACAATGTTCCTGCTAGAATACACATGTGCTGACAATGTACCCGATGTAAAACAGACATGCTCACAATGTTCCTGCTAGAATATACATGTGCTGACAATGTACCAGATGTAAAACAGACATGCTCACAATGTTCCTGCTAGAATACACTATGTGCTGACAATGCACCAGATGTAAAACAGACATGCTCACAATGTTCCTGCTAGAATATACATGTGCTGACAATGTACCAGATGAAAACAGACATGCTCACAATGTTCCTGCTAGAATATACATGTGCTGACAATGCACTGATGTAAAACAGACATGCTCACAATGTTCCTGCTAGAATACACATGTGCTGACAATGTAAATCTGATGTAAAATAGACATGCTCTGATGCCAGATGTAAAACAGACACAATGTTCCTGCTAGAATACACATGTGCTGACAATGTACGAGATGTAAAACAGACATGCTCACAATGTTCCTGCTAGAATATACATGTGCTGACAATGTACCAGATGTAAAACAGACATGCTCACAATGTTCCTGCTAGAATATACATGTGCTGACAATGTACCAGATGTAAAACAGACATGCTCACAATGTTCCTGCTAGAATGCTGACAATGTGCAGACATGACAATGTACGAGATGTAAAACAGACATGCTCACAATGTTCCTGCTAGAATATACATGTGCTGACAATGTACGAGATGTAAAACAGACATGCTCACAATGTTCCTGCTAGAGTACACATGTGCTGACAATGTACCAGATGTAAAACAGACATGCTCACAATGTTCCTGCTAGAATATACATGTGCTGACAATGTACCAGATGTAAAACAGACATGCTCACAATGTTCCTGCTAGAATATACATGTGCTGACAATGTAGCAGATGTAAAACAGACATGCTCACAATGTTCCTGCTAGAATACACATGTGCTGACAATGTAGCAGATGTAAAACAGACATGCTCACAATGTTCCTGCTAGAATATACATGTGCTGACAATGTAGCAGATGTAAAACAGACATGCTCACAATGTTCCTGCTAGAATACACATGTACTGCAATGACAATGTAGCAGATGTAGAACATACATGCTCACAATGTTCCTGCTAGAATACACATGTGCTGACAATGTAGCAGATGTAAAACAGACATGCTTACAATGTTCCTGCTAGAATACACATGTGCTGACAATGTACCAGATGTAAAACAGACATGCTGACAATGTACCAGATGTAAAACAGACGTTCTCACAATGTTCCTGCTAGAATACACATGTGCTGACAATGTACCAGATGTAAAACAGACATGCTCACAATGTTCCTGCTAGAATACACATGTGCTGACAATGTACCAGATGTAAAACAGACATGCCTCACAATGTTCCTAATGTAGAATACACACAATGTGCATGACAATGTACCAGCTGCAACAAACACGCTGAGAATGTTCTTGCTATTCACATGCTCTCTCATAAACCTACTTTTATGTGGTGCGGGTTTGGGAGAAAGAAATAGTTTGTATTAAATGATGTATGGTTTATCACTGGCGTTCAAATAATAAAAATGTGTAATTCAGGAACCAGTGTCGTTTGGCAGGCCATGCTATAGATCAGTCTTAATGCATAAACAATAGTATCGCCTGAATTTTAAAGTGCGAGTGAGTGAGTGAGTTTAGTTTTACGCCGCGACTCAGCAATATTCCAGCCATATGACGGCGGTCTGTAAATAATCGAGTCTGACCAGACAATCCAGTGATCAACAGCATGAGCATCGATCTGCGCAATTGGAACCGATGACATGTGTCAACCAAGCCAGCGAAACTGACCACCTCGATCCCGTTAGTCGCCTCTTACGACAAGATAGTCGCCTTTTATGGCAAGCACATGGGTTGCTGAAGACCTATTCCCACCCCGGATCTTCACGGGTCCTGAATTTTAAATACTTTTACAAGCTGCGAACAACAGCAGTCCCACACAGAACTGCGTAAGTCGCTGTCAGAAGCTGGTGAAGCAATGACGCAATGTAAACAATATGGACAAACTTTATGACAACTCTTTATTACGAGCTGGAGAGTGTGACGTTTCGATACAGATATTTGTACCGTTGTCAAGGAGGAATGTTAACATGAAGTGGAGGCAAAGTAGCTATTTACTTGAGTGTAACAAAGTAAACAAGAGAACAAGATAATTAACACAACTGGCTAGGCAGTGAACTGATAGAGCTAGTGGGTTAGGGCGTGGTGGGGGTGGTGTGGTGGGGTGAGGCATAGAAGTCAGAGATGTACACATGACGGGGCGGTTTAGGATTGCACATGTAATGATTGCACAGGTTCTGGGTTTGAAAAACACAACACACAAAAAAAAAATCGATAATCATAATGGGATGTATAAAGTACCCTACCCCTTGCTACTGTTACTGCTACTGCTGCTGCCCTCTTGTTTCAGTAGAGTGAGTCTGACTCTAATCGTCGAGTTGTCTTCGCAGGATGGGCTTTACACAGCGTAGAACAAGCATATAGGGAGGGGCCCTTCCCAAATATATAGCATCACATATTTACAAATATTCCTGAAAATAAACACAAAATACAGAACAGGCGAGTGACGACTATTTGAACCGCTGGCTGATTAAGTAATGATTCTCGTCTCACAGTGCTCCAGTAACCTACAGGAAGACACGTCGCTCTATACAAGGGCACTATGTCTGAACTGCACAACACAATCACAATGGGCGCGAGGATCCAGGCACTTGGTGTCAATGCAATACAAGGGCACAATGTCTGAACTGCACAACACAATCACAATGGGCGCGAGGATCCAGGCACTTCAAAGCCAATGTAATACAAGCGGGCACTGGCGTCTAGAACTTCGCAACACAATCACAATCACACGCGAGGATCCAGGCACTTGCGTCAATGTAATGCAAGGGCACTATGTCTGAACTGCACAACACAATCAAGGCTAATGGGCGCAAGGATGCAGGCACTTCGTGTCAATGTAATCCAGTTATTTCTTTCTACTTTTGAATTATTTGATGTATCAGTCTGTATGCATGCTTGTTCATCTTGATATTGCATAACGCTGTTATCACGTGGCACATTCCCTGACACAGATCACATCATGTGACCCATTAGGCATAGGTCATCACCAATGCTAACGTCGTAACCCCATACCCGTCCAGATCCGGGTAAGTGTTGGCTTCTACGCGCCCATGCTTGTAACTAGCGGACTGGATGTAGTCAGACTTCGCTGGACTCTGTTTGATGCAATTTTCATCTTGTCAGTCACTCGATTGTTGTCAAGACACGATTGTAGACGGATGTCATAAATTGCATGAATGCGGCGTTAAAACAGCAAGCCAAACATCCCCTTTGATGTATGACGACCTGTGCTAACAATACCGTCATTACAGGTTCCTTAAGTCAGTAAAATGCCTCAGTGGAACCCAGTTTCCACGAGCTGTATTTTATCACTAGATCCTCCCGCCTTCCCTCCTCATTGGCCTCCACCTTGTGAATCTGTCGTTGTAGATGGTCAGCATACCCTCTTTGACTCCAGGTAATATGGAACCCAGACACGATGATGTCATTGATGTGTTGAGAGCTGTGTTAGCGGGCAATATGACTCATATGTAATGTCGGTAGTGTAACCTCCCTCCAAATATGGAACGCATCTGAAATGAATAAAACATCGTGACTCCTGATGCCCTCCTGTTAACACAACTGTAGATGCGTTCCACAAGGCCGGATTAGGAGTCTCCTTAGTTTCGGTTTCGAAAGGTTGTGGTCACATTAAAAACATCATGTCCAGGTTCAGTCTTTGATTGATTAAAAGGATTATCGTAAATAACTGTAAGAGCTTTAATCACCACCACCCCGACGCCCATTATATTTGGGATTAGACTTTCTTAGTAAAGTATAGATTCTAAAAAAGTAATGCCGGAAATTTTGAAAATGCTTTTTGGCTTCAACATCAATATGATGAATTTGACACAAGATAAAAGCACATATATGATACACATGTATCGACTCCTACCTAGTTGGATATTAAAGCTGAGATGAAAAAAATGCACTTGAGGGGTGACTTCACAGGAGGAAATTTTGACGTTTTAACAACAATCATAAATATTCCAAGTACAAACTGTAGTTTTGAAATGCAGACTGTAATTACACATGTATTCATATAGCCTCAACTAATTAAATTACATAATGATTGTAAAAGTTTTGTTTTTCTTGAACATCTGTATGTTAAAAAAGATGGAACTCTTGTAGTAGTTATATTAAAAATAATTACGTAAAAAAGTCTTAATTCAAATCGCATAGATAATCTTGTTCACCCGTAGAAGTTTCTTACATTTCATGTATGAGCACTGAACTGGCACCATGCGACTTGATATCTCTGCAGAACAATTAATTTCAAATTTATACCAGTATGTCATACTGGAGAAACAAAGGGGAAACCTCTCGTCAGCTGTGACCGGGTTTTACTATAGAATGTGTAAAGCCCTTAATTTTGTGATATAGGCAGGTTTACAAGTTGTAAACCTCTAGGGTCTCGTCAAAATCGAAACCAGGTAGGGACACACAAACTGGATAGGCTTTGATAAGGGGGTGTCATACGCCGTCCAGTTTATAAACTCTATGAACGGAAAAATCCCACCAACGTGTGGGTAAAAATACAAGATGAGATCAAAGATACAACAACTGTCTCGAAAACATCACTTATTGTAGCTCTTGGTAGAAATGGGGTTCAGGTACACCAAAAAAGGGAGATGACAGAGCTGTGTTTAGAGAAAGTATTCAATATTGTCCATGCAATCAGCTTATCCCCAGAACAGTTGAAGAATACCGCAAATTGGGGTTTCAAATTATATACCTTGATACCCATCGAGCTGATCTGAGGTAACTGTAAGAGTTTTACTGGCAATAATACTACATTCAAGCTTTCAGACGTTAAAGAGCTTGTGTATGCTTCTTTTGCGAGAATTACCCCAGAAGTGTTGGAAAAGGCTAAAGACCATGCTCTCAAAATCGAGGACGAATACCGTCTGCGGGACGGCGTTTACGTCAGCCGAGTTGCACCTGTTGTCATTCCGCTGGAGACCCGTGAAGATCCGGGGTAATAGAGTCTTCAGCAACCCATGTGCTTGCCATAAAAGCGACTATGCATGTCGTAAGAGGCGACTGACGGGATCGGTGGTCAGTTCTCGCTGACTTGGTTGACAATATGTCATCGGTTCCCAAATTGCTCAGATCGATGCTCATACTTGTTGATCACTGGATTGTCTGGTCCAGACTCGATTATTTACAGACCGCGGCCATATAGTTGGGATATTGCTGAGTGCGGCGTAAAAACTAAACTTACTCTACTTTACTCATTCCGCTGGAGTCCTCGACCAGCAGTGATACTGACACTTGATATTTTGAGACGGTCCCTGACATGAACTGCCCGTGCGTTACATAACGCTGTGACCTGTTTTCCTACCAGGTGGGTCACAGTATATTTTGTTTCTTTGAAATGTTTCTACCATGGAAATTTTTATGTTTTTCTATATTTTACGAGTAATCATTATGATTAAGGAATGGTACATCGTGATTACCCATATGCCATATTAGGTCGAGGTGGTATGAATGATTATATATGTGTTTCGAATCTGGATAATCAACCATTATGAAATATTTGCCAAAATGCATTTCCAAAGCATTTCTGACCTTATTTTAGTACTTTTATTGGGTTGAGTCCCAGTCCGGGATCTTCGAACCGACACCCTCTGGCACCTAATCAGCAGCACACAAAGTCAGCCGCCTGACCCGCTCAGCCACCGCGGATTCCACAAAAATGGAAGTCGGACAACTGGTAGTCTTGAGTGCGGACTCTTGTGTACACCTCTGATAAGTGTAAATACCTGGATAATGAACATTTTACATGGTGGGTTGGAATTCACAGAGCTGAATGTCATATTTACTCTAATGGACTGCAGGTGGGGCGCCTGTAGCCCCATATATAATACGCTTGATAGACAGAGCTGACATGACACTCCCGTCCAGACAGAGATGTGCGGACCCATAAACATATAATCATTGCTCATCTCTTGAGAGACATTTTCCGCTGGACATAAAGTAAATAATATTTCACGAAAAATATGAAACAAGTCGAATCACAATAGAGAGATTCGAAATGCTCGCTTACCTTGCTGGGGCGATGTTAACTTGAGAAGCCGTGCCGTTATCACACATGAGACATTATACACAGTTAAGGTGAAGCCTGTGGCTTTGGTCTTGTTGGAAATCCAGCACCTAGTATATACCCGTTGCTGGCCCGTTTAAATAGAACGGGTGTTAGAGAAATGACTGCATTCCTAAGATTACCATGTGGATCATCTCAAAGTTCCATGCATTATAAGGCAGATCTGATTTTCATGAAATTGTACGATCATAAACAACTCGATATGACCCATATTTGTAGTGCCCAGGTTTGAACAGCAGTCAATATAGTGACGAGCCGCCTGCTATGGTTTTGTTGTAGAACTAGAGTTATCTGCCCTTATTATGCTTGTGACCCTTTCAAGACGCTTGCTAGGGGAAGGCTACGCATGCCGTTTCGCGAACACTGTTTTATCTTCTGCCCCATACAGTGAGTGAGTGAGTGAGTATATGGCTTTAATGCCGCTTTTAGCAATATTCCAACAATATCACGGCGGGGGACAAACTTCTGAATGGGCTTCACACATTGAACCCAATTATGGGGAATCGAACCCGGTATTCGGCGTGACGAGCCAACGCTTTAACCACTAGGCTACCACACACCGACCCTTCTGCCCTCAAAATATAACCTGATTTCCAGCTTTAACCTCTGCGTTATGCATTTTAAACTTTTGATACCTTTGAGTAGTATAGTATAATATGCTTTGTGACAGGTCCTTACCAAAGGCTTGATTTATAAATTGCCCGGCGGTTAGTCCCTATCACAGAAGCGCTATTGTGTATACTACTACTGAGTTGTATGCAAAATATGAGTAAAATCAGTGGCAATAGTTTCTGAAATATTGACTTTAAGTGTGTGTGTGCGTGCGCGCGCGCGTGCGCGATGTAGTTGTTCGAACTACGGTCAATATGCTGCTGCCGCTACCATGACCATATACCCACTGACGGCGTGATGCGCTGTCTCCGATGTTCACTATCAAAGGTGGCAGTGCTCTTTCCTTCACAAGGTGTCTCACGAATGCGATACAATCCTTTCCTTACAATTCCGACTTTAAGTGATGTGATGTTGTGAATGCAAGCATGATGCCTTACTTTGCATGACGTATTCAGCAAGTGTCCCCTGGAGTCAACTGTGAAATGTTTCTCAGCATCAGAACAAGCGGGTCTGCTTCCAACCACAAATATCTCAGGATTATTAGAGTTGTTCTGAAGAACGTTGATAGATCCATTTGTAAAACAGGCTGAAGAACAAAATACATCCTATACTAAAGTATTGTATTCTTCCTGGACAGCGCCACACGGCGTGCTATGGAGGAGCAGTGGAGACAACTGGCTTCTTTCACATTTAATATAAATATTCATTGATGTGCATGTATCTTGTTTGTTACAATTCACCTGACAAAGGAGCAAACAACAGCCCGGAAACGTTGTGACATTCGATAAAGAAGAAGTTGTCATCCATAGTATTTATGTTTTACTTGAATACCAACTAAATGTCTCTCAATAAGGTTACATGCTGTATGGAATAAATATCATATACCCTTCAGATGACCCAGCCAGTAAATCACATTTCAATGGTTTGGGAGGATTACAGTGGTACGTTATATCTGAGGAACGTTTTTTCCTTTCGTAGGTTGGTTGGTTTGTTGTTTAACGCCGCACTCAGCAATATTCCATCTGTATGGCGGCGGTCTCTAAATAATCGAGTCTGATCGAACAATTCAATGATCAACATCATGAGCATCGATCTACGATCAGAAAGAAATCTGTGTCAACCAAGTCAGCGAACTGACCATCAGATCTCGTTAGTCGCCTTTTACGACAATAGGTTGGTGATGATACCGTAGCGGGTATTCTTGCGTAGGCAAATGATTACGTAATCATCCTTATCAAAGTATATAGCTCTTGGTATTAATTTGATTTAATTGATTACCTTACGGTAATTATGCCTGTAATTAAAAGACATATTTTGACAAAGCATGTAAGCGTTCCCTTGACTCACTGATGTTGAGGGGGGATGACGGCGTGCTTACTGTTATGACCTACAACAGAAAACTGCGCGATGGGCATATAAATGAGTTAGATACAACAATATATCCGTTTCATTGAACCGACGGAGATAGTTCCCTTGAACACAGATGTAAATACACAACTTCAACTGTAGTTCACTGTACAACTGAATTACGTTATTATTGCAGGTAATGGAAATACGAAGCAGTTTAATGAAACCGAAACAGCAGTTCAAGTGTTGAAATGATGCATGAATATATGCTTCACTTACATGTGGTAACAACACAAGTAGCCATGTACCCGAAGACAGCCATGTACCCAAAGTCATCCGTGCATCCAACGTCAGCCACATGCTGAATCAGTGAGATATTTTGTGATATAACTTGGCCATTGGAAGGATCGT